GCAGTGTGGAAGATAAGACAAAGGCCAACCCTGTCCTCCGAGGGGCTGGCAGGCCGCATGGTGACCGTGTGGCATTTGGCCCTGGATGGAAGGTTTCCTAAGCAGGGGCAGATGTCACTCTGAGAACTAAGGGGCACCTGGCCCAGGCCTTGGTATTTTCCATGACCTCATATCCATGTCACCCTGGACAGTGCCTCAGGGAGACTGCAGGAGAACCGGGGCCTTTGAAGGAAGGTGCTCGCGACGACTATAGAAAGGACCATGGGCAGCCGGGAGAACAAATCCATCTCTCTTGGGGGAAAATCTATACCCAGAATGCTCCTTAGACATGAGGATGATGAGGCTTTGTCTTATCTACTTTGTCACCAGGAGGAACCAGTCCCTGAAGGAGGACTTCATGCTTGGTAACATGAAGGGGCAGTCGAGCAGAGCAGGGACAGTTACCAGCGAGCTGCCCTTTTGCACACCGCAGAGTGGTCCTCAGCCTGGACCAGCTTGATGGGCATCAGAGTGATGCTGATGCGAACTCTCGATGCCTGATGATTGTCCACTACTGTTGGGAGCCAAACTGGTCAAAACCAGTTTATAAAACAGGCCTGTGAGTTGAACCTACGTAAGTATATCTAGTAACTCACTGCTAGAGGTACACCCAACCAAAATGTATTCCAGAAGGTTCACAGCAACAGCCGCCACCCCCCCTGCCCCAAACTAGCAACTGCTGAAACACCCATTGGTAGAATGGATAAATGTGGGGTGCGTCATCCAATGGAATACTATACAGCAACAGGGAATGAACTGTCATAGGGAACAACACGACTGGCTTCACATAAATAACACCGAGCAAAAGGAAACCAATTCAGACCTCCACATGCTTGATTTCACTTGCCTATGAAGGAGAACCAGTCCTAGCCAATCTCTGGTGAATATGCAAGGGGAAGCCCCAACTATCGCCATACAGACATGGAAACCCTTATTAAACAAAACTACCGGACTGCAAAGCTCTGGCTTCTTGACACATCCTCTGTCTAGGTCTACACGCTTCTAAAGACGGGGTTTCCAGGTCTCCAGGGCCCCCACTCCCTCCCCAAGATCCTGCCGTCTTCGATTTGCACATCCTCAAAGGATCCACATCACGTGCCTTTGGAATGTTCTTTGAGTTTGGGCAACAAAAAGAGTCTCGGGCAAGATCCAGGCAGGCAGGCGGATGGGGTCAGGTTGTGAGTGAGGTTCTCCCGCGGCGGCAACCTTGAGGAATGAGCACGGACACCATGGCGATGGGAAAAGATCCTCGACCCGCCACCTGGCCCACCTTTTCTCACCAACGAAAGCCGCCCTCCGTTTTCTTATTTGTTCTCCACGATCAGCTCCAGTGAGCATCTTGTGTCCTGGAGGATTCTGGGAATCAGTTGCCATGACCTCCTGAGCTGACCTTTATGCCTGGAGCATAACTGGGCCAGCAGATGCCCTCGGCAGCCGCTGTTGGTTTGAACTTCTTTTTAAAGTCTCCCTAATGCCGTGGTTCTCAACCTTCCTCACACCGCGACCCTTTCATACAATTCCTCATGGTGTGGTGATCCCCCCGAACCATAAAATTATTTTTGTTGCTACTTCATCACTGTCATTTTGTGACCATGATGAATCGGGCAACCCCTGTTGAAAGGGTTGTTCATCCCCAAAGGGGTCACGACCCACAGGTTGAGAACCACTGCCCTAATGCGTCTAAGACAAGTGTGTCATGGACTGCCGCCGTCAATGGTCGCCAAAGCATTTCCTAACACATTGTGTTCGGGGTCAACCTGTGCACACATGCAAGGGGACCCTCACAGCAATACTTCTGTACTTACCCTTGCATTACAAATGTGGAGCCCAGGTGGAGTAGTGGTTATGATGCAGAAGGTCGGCAGTTCTAAACCACCAGCTGCTCCATGGGGGAGAAAGACTGGGCTTTCGACTCCCGTGAACAGCTACCGTCTCGGAAACCCACAGGGGGTCGCTCTGAGTCATCATCGACTGGATGGCAGTGAGTTTGTATTAAAAACCACGGAATGGACACTTGAGGGAGGTGAACTGTATGGCACATGAATTTATCTCACAAAAGCCACGCTCTGGGATTAGATGTCAGGAGAGTGGCTACCGTTGGTGGGGGAATCAAGAGGGTGCCTGGGTGCTGGTTCCACACAGGGTGTGGTCAATCTGACAATTCTACATGTGACTGGGCACTCGGCTGTGCGTGTGTTGTACTGGACTGAAACAATCCAGGGCCGGCCTGACTCTCGGCCCTGGGGCCCATGATGCAGGGAGATATCAGAGTCCTTTATTTGCTATGGAGAGGGGTCCCCGGGCTTATGGACAGGATTCCTTGCCCCATTAGAGAAGCCTCACCTGCCAGGCTTGGGGGAAATCTCAGAGAAGAAATTAGGGGACCTGCTTCTTGTCTCCCTTGGCCTTGGCTGGAGTGAGCAGCAATGGCCCCACATTGGGAACAGCCTCTCCTGTGTGCATAGCCTGGGCTCTGGCTACTGGGACTCCTCACAGCTCTGGACCACAGCTCCTAGAGTGCCCAGCCTCGGGCATAACTTGAGGACCCTGTGCGGGGGTAGGCTGGCCCACAGAGCGCGTGGCACAGCCCAGGCCAGCCTCTGTCAGCCCAGCGGCCCAGTCAGGCACCTCAGGGGTGGGTGTGAGCTGCTTCTGTATGAGCACTCGAGCCCCCCGGAACACGGACCCCAGAGGAGAGCGTGAGCGAGGGGAAAGGTCTCCCTAAGAGCCTGGGCTCAGGTTGAAGTTTGATTTCAGGGCTCAGGGCCGTTGGGGGCTACAGGCTGTGTTGGGCCAGGAGCGGGTGCATCTCTTCCACTCAGGGCATCCGACAGTCCAAAGAGCTGCTGCCATGATGGGGACACGCGACCCCTGAGCTTCTGATTCAAGTTTGGATTCAAAACAAAACAAACTCTTCCTAGATGAGACTGTCACATGTCTGGGTGCAGGGACCCCCGGGGGCCAGCACCAGCCACTTATCCATCCAACAGACGCTGACTGGGAGCTGCCGCTGGGCCAGGCCAGTGCCCCGCTCTGGGACACAGTGGCGCGTGCCTGGGTGTGGTCCTTAAGCAGCCCACAGGCCCTGTCCAGGGTGCGGCTGGCATGTAAAGGGGAAGCCAGGTGCAGGGGACAACAGCAGTGATGGGTTTCTGGAGCAGAGAGGAAGGGGAGTGAACCCATTCATAGCCGCCCCCACCCCACCTCAGGACAGGATGTCTTCAGAGGCTGGACTTTTGTCTTTTGCACCAAGGAACACACAGTGCGGCTCAGGCCAGCTGGAGGGACTGCGAGCACTACGCAGAGGAGCTCCCGATGCAACCCCCCGCACCAGTATCCTTCTCGGCTGTTTTTAAAAAGAAGGAACGAGGCGGGCGAGATCACAGGAGATGCCACTGCATCCTTTGATACGCCCTGTCTTTAAAACTGTCCGGAAGGGGCAGCGTGGGGGTGGGGGGTTCGTTTAGTTTCTCAGATACAAAGCAGCCCCGGTGGCACAGTGCGGTATGCATTGAGCTGTCAGCACGAGGTCAGCGGGTTGAAGCCACCAGGTGCTCCTTGGGAGAAAGATGAGGTGTCTACTGTCAAGATGTAAAGTCTCAGAAACCCCAAAGGGCTAGTTCTATTCTGACTTAAAAAGGCACCTTCAGCGGAAATCGAGTGGATGGCAGGGAGTTTTCTGTTTGTTTCTCATTCATAGAAGAGGGCACACACTTGGACACACACACACACACACACACACACACACACACACACACCCTTTCGCCCCGCCCCACAGTCACCTTCTACACCAGGGACTCTTCTTCTTCCTCCAGTGCTCTATCATAAATGCCAACATTTAAAAATCAAACCTGTTCCAAGCCTGGGCACGTGGGTAAGTGATGAGCAAAACCCCAAACCAAGCTCAGTGCCCTTGAGTCGTGACCCCATAGGACTTGGCAGACCTGCCCCGGGAGCGCGGGAGTGGTAAACCTCCTCTTTCTCCCTTGGAGGGGGGGGGGGCGGTTTCAAACCGCTGGCCTTGCAGTTAGCAGCTCAACGCATAACCACTCTGCCATGAGGGCAAGAGGTCTTCACGGTCTCCCTTTCCATCAGTGGGGAAATGCTTGAGACTGGACATGCCTGCTCTTTTTCTTTTTTCTTTTCAGATCATTTATTGGGGGCTCTTACAACATTCTGTGCATCGATTGTATTGAGCATATTTGTACATAGGTTGCCAACATCCTTTTCTAAACATTTATTTTCTTTTGGAGCCCTGGTAGCAGCTCCTCTTTTACTCCCTCCCTCTCCCCCGCTCCCCTCCTCTTCCCCAGAGAACCAACCCCAGAAGCACACCAGAGGCCAGTGAGAAGCCCGCTGGGCCCACACCAGCATTACCTTGGTGCCGTGGTAGAAGTCGTCCACGCACGTGGCATTCATGAAGGTCTGGTGGAAGTGGGTGCTGGTGTCGATCCCCCCGGGGATCACCAGCTTCCCGGTGGCGTCGATCACCTTTGCACCGCCAGGGATCATGAGCTCCCGGCCCACCTGCTGGATGATGCCATTCTCGATGTAGACGTCGGCCTCGTGGGTGCAGTCATCGTTCACCACCTTGCCTCCCTTGATGAGGATCCGCACGCTGGCTGCGTTGGCAAGCATGTTCCTACAGGAGGGGAGGGATGCTCTGGTCACCGCCACGCCCTTTCTCACGGTCACCGTGGCCCCGCCCCTTTCCTAGAAGAGCCCCGGTACCACACAGCAGGGTTACCCAGGAAACCGTATCCCTTCCCCATCCCCACCCCTGACCTCAGTGATTGTAATTCGGTTTGGAAATAGGCATTGCTTTGTTAGGTTAATTACAGCGGGCTCTAATCAGGGTGGGTTCTAGGGATCATCAGCTTTCTGAGATGTAAAAGGGGCAAATTAGACACAGATGGACCCATGGGGGGGCAAAGACAGCTGGTCTGCGACACTTAGTTTACAAGCCCAGGAACAAAAGACTGCCCTGATGCCCTGGCCAAGACTCAGATTTGAACTTCTACCCTTCAGAAGGGAGTGAGAATACATCTCTGTTCCTTAAAACCTTTAAACACTGGTGGCATTTCTGCTCCTGCAGCAGAAGAAGTGGGGGTAGGAGGGAGGGAGTTCCTTCCCAGTGAGGATGGAGTCGACAAGCAAAGGGGTCACCAGCGCCCCACTGGCCTCAGCAGTAAAGGTGACGTCGGGTCTCAAACACCAGGTCCCTTGTACTTTGTATCCACTACCTCACTTTATCCCCCACAAAGCTGAGGCGCCCCACTTCACAGAGGAGACACTGAAAGTAGTGAGAAACTGGTGGCCCCTTGGTAGCCCAGGCAAACCCAGACGGTCTGGATGTCCCCACATGACCACTGGTTGCTGGCAAGTTGGTCCAGACTAAGTATGACCCGTGGACATCAGAATACAAGCGTGCCCCAGACGGGTCTCAAGGCCTGATTTTTCAAAAGCAGATTGAAAGACCTTTCTCCTGAGGTGCCTCTCAGTGGGTTCGAACCAGCCTTTCAGTGAGCAGCTAGGTGCCACTGTCTACACTACACCCCCGGGGTATCCGACGATACAGCAGGCTCCTGTGCTGGGTGAGTCTCAGAGCACATGCTCTCCCGCTGCTCAGCTGCTTCATCCATTGCATCCTCCAGATAGACTGCCTCAGTCCATCCTCCCAGGTCTGCCCAGAGGTCCATGAGGAACACAGGCTCCGCAGCTGCTTATACGAGGGTCGGTAAGGAAGTATTGTATATACAACTCTTTGTAAAAGCGATGTAACCATGGACGTGTATGCTATGTGGACACTATATTAAGAAAATTCCACACACAAAAAATAGAAACCAAACTTGACCAATGGTTACCATGGGAGGAGGAAGAGGAAGAGTAGTTGCTTAGGGGGCATTGAGCTTACGTTAATGGTGATGGGATAATGTGGAAACGGCCATCAATAATGGTTGTACAACATGAAGAGTGTGCTCAATGGCACCGAATCAGCCATGTAGACATTAGAGAATGTTTTGTTGTGTATATTTGGGACAGAATTAGAAAACAAAATTACATGACTAACAATGAGTACAAGGAAGAAAATGCTCTAGAATTGACTGTGGTGATAACTGCACAGCTCTTCTTGATCTGTATTATTTTATGATATGTGGATGAAGTGCTAATAAAACTGTTAATAAACAAACAAATATGCTAAAAAGTATTGCCATAGGTCCAGGTTTATCCCAAATGAAGCCTGTGTTGAAACATATCCCCATGGTCAGTGGATGGCAGTGGACAAGTTCGCCCAGTCATCAGACACTGGTCTCCGTCTCATTCAACTCCACTCAACACACTGCCATCGATTGAGTGGATTCCAGCTCACGGCAACCCTACAGGACAGGGGGGAACTGCCCCAAAGGTTTCAGAGACCGCAGCTCTTTGCAGGAGTGGAAAGTCCCATCTTTCTCCTGTGGAGCCGCTGGTGGTTTCAAACTGCTGACCTTGTGGATCACAGCCCAAAGCGTAACCACTACGCTGCCACCAGGGCTCCTTTAGTGCCTTCAAAACAAAACCAAAAAAGGGTCTAGTCAGTACAGTGGCTTCCGAAGGGATATGCCGGGTCAGGGAAATTCCAGGCATAGACGTCAGCTCATAGTTACTCAACTGCTGGGTAATCTTGATGGATTATTTGCTTGTTTGTTTGAAAGCATCTCATTGGGGGCTCTTACAGATCATATAACAATCCATAAACCAATTCTATCAAGCACACTTGTACACATGTTGCCAGCATCATTTTTAAAACATTCTCGTTCTACTTGAGCCCTTGGTGTCAGCTCTTTTTCCCACCTCAGTCCCCCATGGAGTTCTTTTCCTTTTTGGCAGGAGGGTGACTGTGAAGACGTTTTCAGATAAACGAAAACTGCCTCAATGAGAAAAGGCCAGGAAAGTTGCACCCAAGGAATGTCCCCGACCGTGACAATGCACCGGGCACCTTCCTGGACTCCATGTGGGCCGGTCCAGGAGGATCTAACTGGGCAACCTCAGCCCACCCACCTCACAGCCCTGACCTTTCCCTTCCGAATGCCTGCACTTCCTTTTGTTCCCAAGACTCGAAGAACATTGAGGAGGGGCACACTTGGAGCCCCTGGAGGATCCCCTTCACTTTGACACAGGGTACATCCGAGCACAGCGTTTGCAGAGAAAGGTTAGAGATGGAAACGCCACCTTCAGAAGTGGATAGCAACAGCCTCACATTTTGATATTTCTATTGAATAAGGGTTTTGTTTTAAAAAATTAATTAATTTATTTATTTTTTATTGGGGGCTCATACAACTCATCACAATCCATACATACATCAATTGTATAAAGCACATTTGTACATTTGTTACACTCATTATTCCTTTTTAAAAAAATTATTTTACTGAGGGCTCGTACATTTCTTATCACAGTCCATACATCCATCCATTGAGTCAAGCACCTATGTACACCTGTTGTCCTCATCAATCTCAAAACAACTGCCCTCAATATTGTTTGCTTGTTTCCCCCTCCCTCTCCCCCCTCCCTTCTGAACCCTTCATAATTCATAAATTATTATAGATTTCCCATAAGTTACCCTGTCCGACGTCTCCCTCCGCCCTCTTCTCTGCTGCCCATTCCCCAGGGAGGAGGCTATACTTAGATTCTTGTAATTGGCTCCCCTCTTCCACCCCGCATTCCCTTCACCCTCCAGGCCTTGCCCCTCTCACCGCTGGTCCTGAAGAAGTCATCTATCCTGGGTTCCCTGTGTTTCAAGTTGCTATCTGTACCAATGTACATCCTCTGGTCTAGCCAGATTTGCAAGGCAGAATTGGGGTCATGAATAAGGGTTTTTATGATACTGTGGTAATATTTTACTTACCCTCATAAGTTAAACTCATCAAGAGCTTATCAAAAACATTGGTGTGGTGTTGTGGGTGGTGGAGTGGATTACGAATTGGGTTGCCCACTGCAAGGTCGGCAGTTCTCACTTGTAGATATTGTTGAGGCGGCGTCTGTTTTTGTGGTTTGCTTCCACAACACAAATAAGCAAAACATCTGTGGCAGTTAACAGACTCTCCTGTCAACTTGCGAAGGGGTAGAGTCTAGCCTGTCAATCAGGTCGCAGCTTGATGACCAGAGGAGATAAATAGCTCACTGGAGGCCAGATACACTCTCTGCTATACGTTCCTGCTGACAAGGCACAGGAGCCAAGCTGAGGGAGGCAGAGCCCTGGAGCTGGAAGAGCCAGTGGGGACCCATGCCAGCACAGAGATGCTTCCACTGCCAGTGGATGCACAAGACTTTCCACCCACTGGCCTGTGATCTTCCTGCATTCAGCATCACTGCATGGCTGCGTGAGTCTGAAGAGGAATTTATGGACTAGGATCGACACATGGGGTAATATAAGACTTACGGACTTGATCTGGAGTGGGCTGGGATATTTTCTTAATGTACAATTGCTCTTTAATAGAAAGCTCTTTCTTATACACATGCGTCTATGAATTTGTTTCTCTAGTCCACCCTGTCCCTAACACAACATCTGTGGTAAGCCAATTCTCCAGATCAAGGGGGTCATTTGGGGGGCTAATTTGGAGACCCGATCACACAGACGTGGGCTCACCCTAGAAATCCAGGCTGGACGAGCTTCTAGGCCTACTTTAGAGGGAACTCCCAGGACCCTATTCATGGCATTGTTGTGAGGGGCCGTCAAGTTGGCTCCGACGCACAGCACACCTGTGTACCAAGAACAAAACACGCCCGGCCCTGCACCATCCTCACGATTGCTCTGTGGGCGTCCACTGTTGCGGCCACCGTGTCCATCTGGCTAGCTGAGACTCTTCCTCTTTTACATTATCAAGGCTGATGTACTCCTCCAGGGCCTGGGCCCTTCTGATAACGTGTGCACAGCAATACGGCAAGGTGCATGCTCGTATTTCCAGCACGCCTTGTTTGTTCTTTTGGCGGTAACTTACATGCATCAGTTCCTCTGCCGTCTTCCTTATGCATCGCCCGACTTTCACATGCGTGAGGCGATGGACAATATCCACTTGATTTCTTGACAGCGACTTCCAGAAGCATGGATTATGGATCCGAGTCAAATGAAATCCTTAACATCAGGCATGTCTCCATGGGTCGTGATGCTGTCTACTGGCCCAGTTGTGAGGACCTGGGCTTTCTTGACATGGAGTTGCAGTCCACAGGGGCGGCTCTCCTCTTCAATCTTCATCAGTCAGTGCTTTGAGTCCTGTTTCCAGCAGGTACATTGTGCCATGTGCGCATCGCAGGTTGATAATGAGCCTTCCTCTAATCCGGGTGCCACGTTCTTCACGGCGTCCAGCTTTTCAGATTTATTTGTTCAGTGTACAGATGGAACGAGAAGGGTGACAGGTCACAACCCTGACGCACACTTTTCCTGATTTGAAACCACACAGCGTCTATTAAAACCACTGCCTCTTGGTCGATGGGCAGGTTCTGCACGATGGAAGTGGTCTGGAACAGCCATCCTTAGGGTCCTTTGCTAAGCATATTACAGGCAGGCCCCATCAATTCTAGTTATGATGAACACTACTTAGGACCATCTTTTTTGGTGTGTGTGTGTGTCTGCATCGGACAGGGTCAGTTCTGCCCTGTCCTACG